TTTTTTTTCCTCCCACAGGACCAGCGGCAGACTGAGTCTATTCAGTTGCTGCAGGGCCAGCTGGAGAATGTGACTCAGCTGGTTCTCAACCTGTCTGTCACAGTCAGCCAGCTGCAGACTGAGGTAGATACAATGCTCCTGGCACACAATATATCAAACTGAGTACAATTAGTCTTTTCCCAGGACCAAGTCATTAGGATGTACGCAGTGTTTGAGAAACCTCATTAAAGCTACTAAACATGTTGGTTCTTTCAACTTCTGCAATACATGTCTGAATGTGTTTACTTGTTGTTTTAGTTATACTTCATTTACTACGTCTGTCAGACAGTGCCAGTGTTTTGCTAATGAGATATTCATTGGTCTGTCTCCTAGGTGTCAGACAGGCAGAACTACCTGCTGCTGTCTCTGGCGTTGTTTCTGTGTCTCGGCCTGCTGCTGTTTGCCAACTACTGCCGCATCTCCACTATTCCTCCAACCATCGATCCAGAGCCACCCATAGCTAAGAGCTACACCTACTGCTGTCCTGAAAGGTAGCAAGAACATCGTATAGTTTAACATTCTGCTGTAAATGTATATAATGAAAAATCTTTATGACACAATCTTTACATCCATGATGACAAAGAAAAAGATTTAGTGGAGAGCACAGATGTGAATAAGCACTGAGTGGCATCTCCAAATGGGCTATTACAGCTTATAGGCAGAGGTTGCTCAGTGGAGGTACTCATTAAGCCAGTTTATTGATACAATTATTCATCTCGAGCATCGCCGCTGGAATCTTAAGTGATCACACCGCTGTAACTCATGTCTTGGTAAACGTGCTACATGCAGTCTTTTTCCTCAACTGTTACTGTGTCCTTTTAATAGGCAGTTCTCTTCCTGTGATGAGACGGGCTTGAAGAGGAGTGCATCCTATCCACTCATAAATTCTGAGTCATTCCAGTTAGCCACCACCGAAGGTACGGTTCTACTACACAGGTGCTACCAGGGTAATAATAATACTAATCTGTTTCAAGGTTTCTCTCATATATCTTGAACAGTAGCTAATCAATGCAGAATCCAACCATTCTTTATCTTGGTAGAAATTAACCTCATTCTTTGGCTCACAGGCCCAGAAATGCTGCATGCAGAGGAGACACAGGGTCTTTGTCCAGCCAACAGAAAGGTGTGAAGACGAATTTATTGCAGTGCAGAATATTAGTGTAAAATATCTGCTTCAAATACTGGTGCTAACTTATTATATATATATATATATATATTATATATCTATATATATTATATAGTTGCTAACCAATGTTTTATCTCACAACTTTTACCCACACAGAGGAGACGCCGTAAAATGAAACCCTTGGAAAAAGTGGAGACTCTGAAACCCTCTTTTCATGCTGCTCAAGAACTGTGTAACGGAGGTGTTTTATGTAACGGTGTGCCAGTCACCACAAACCCTACACCCCTCACAAAAAGGTTACTTCAACCTGTGTTTAGAGACTCACCGTCAGAGGGCAGCTCGGAGGCATCTTCACATTCAGATGACCCCTCCTTCTGTGGCATCACCACAGCTTGCAGCCGAATCTGTGACGGGCACCCTCCCCCCAGGACACGGGCGGAGAAGCGGGCATTAAGGCGCAGGCGTCCGAAGCCCAGTTGCGCAGTGGTGGACTTGCTTCAGGCCCCAAGGAGGGACAAGAGCGAGCCATTACCTATCTCTACCATACAGGACCTCATGAACAGGAAAACGGAGCAAAGCTCTGGGAAATTTGGGGTGAATGTTGCCCTTTCAGGTCCTGTTTGACATCTCCACTCCTTCTCACTGACTGCTTCACTCTTTCCAAAAGAGGATGGATGTTAATATCTGTAGCCACAGGCAGCTTTAAGCTTTGATATGAGACAATCCTTTCACTCTTACTTTAGTTTCGTTTTCTGTTTGTGTTCTGTGTTCGGTTCTTGTCAGATGTTTATATTTGTTATACTTAAAATCAAAGAAATGTCTTCCCAGCTTCCAATAAAGCTTTTGTTTGGAAATACAGACTGTGACTATACCCCCTACAAATGTAAGAAAATTATGAGTATTATTATACTAAACGTACCTTTTATTTCCTAAAAAATCAGTTCTGACCTCTTAGTGAACCTGCTGTCAGGACATTGCATTAAAATTCCAACAGGACCTTTTCTTTAGTCAATTTACCTTCACAATAAAAGCACAGAAACTCACTGAAATTTTTTTTGGGAGTACAGAAGACATATCAAAGTATTTGGGAATTTTTATATTGAAAGTGGAAAAACAGCTACAAAACTCAAACAAAAGGAACCATTGTACGATTGTCTATTGTTATTGACTGAGAGAGAAGGAAGAAAGCACGCTCATTATTATGCTTAAAATATTCCTCACAAAAGAGATTCATTTATCATCAATTGCACTCACAGTCCAGTACGTATGGCTGGATGGTTGTGAGGCAAAAGTTGCTGATAAAATACACGAAAATGTTGCGTGACTCACCAAAAATTTAGGATTGGGAAAAAACAATTAGTTATATGAAAATGTAATTCCTGCTTCTGCCTTCTACACTTTTTAAAATGCCATGTTCTCCCCTCAAGTTGCTGCGTTGTTCTGTGCTTTTTTCTACTGCAGAATGAAGCTGAATTCTAATGCCAAGTGATGCTGTGAATGCTATCAAGGAAAAATTTAAATCAAAGGCTCAGATGGATTTGAGGTCAGACCTTAGAGCTGCAAGAATCCACTACACTCAAGTACCTTGAGCAGCCCAGTGAGCCCCTCCTCCCAGCCTCAGGAGTGTTGTTCAGTAACTGACCCTGAGCTCTGGAGGAGAATAATGTTCCTCTCCCAGTGCAGAGAGAGAGAGAATTTCTTCAGTGAGATAACACGGTGTTATTGAAAGGTACTGGAAACAACTTAGGATTGTTCACTGCTGCTGACAGAATCTGTCTCATAAGGTGTTTGTGTGTTTTTGAGTAACAGATTCAGTAGGTTTAACTTGCAGGAATACAAGCCCTGCAGTTGATTACAATAACAATGGCGTAATATAAGAGCCTGAGACACCTGTGGGGGGGGAGGAAGACCAGCAATATGGCTGAAATTCCTAATTAGGTCACACAATCTGTCTGGTTGTAACATCCTTTATGTGTCACTGACATCTGATGCAAATGCGTTCCTGTGATTTTGCACTGATTCTTTTAGCACATGGTTCATTTTGCAAATCTTCTCAACCTTTAAAAATATCTTAGAGTTAAAGCTGTTACTGGGAGAAAACACAAGCAAAGTGGGTGAGACACACAGGATCTCTCTTATGTAAGTATTGCTTTGTCCAGCAGGGGGCAGCGTAATCTCGGGATAAACCTCCGTTGTGTGATTTTTTTGATCTACCATCACCAGCATTTTCCATGTGATGAGTCATTACACAGGATGGAAGTAAATTAGTTCAAGGGCTAATACTGCTCTCCACCATGCTGCTGGAGCCACTGAAACTGCTGTCCTTATTATCCTGGCTGTGTTCTGTTATTAAAATGTACTCAAGGAATCTTCAGACCAAATGTGCTCCCTGTTTTACAGTGAACATTTGGAGTGTCTTATGGAAAACAGAACACTAACTGAAAATGTGTTTGAAGACAGCATCTTTTGATGTCTGCCTCAACCAACAGCATTTATCATAAGACTCCAGCTGTGTTTTTCAAGTTGAAAAACTGCATTAGTTCCATTACTTTTACACAAACACTGTCTCTTGCTTGCTGTGGTCAGGCACGGTCAGAGCTGTGGTGGATGTGAGAAATTAGGTTAAAACCTCTTTATTTATCTGACCCGGTTGGGTAGCAGGAGTCTTTCAGAGATAAGCGTGCCTGATGCTCTTTTTTTCCCTTCATTTTGTTAACAGAATTCCTAGGTTTCTCTTTGCCCTGCCTCGTTCCAAAGATTATCTGTAAATGCAGGGCTGCAATCCTCTTTTCCCGGACACTCTGTTTTTATCCAAGGTCTGTTTTGGACTGAATATTCTCAGCGTGCTGTTGTGTCTGTATGTTTTTATTTTGGTGTACAGATGTCTGCTCTATATTTACTGTTACCAAACTCTCTGTCTTGCCTGATTCCTGTCAAAATTGGAAAAAAATTAAATTATTTTTCTAACACTCTAAATACTTATTTATTATTATTTACATATGTAAATTAACTAACATGACTAACTCATTCTAACCCAAACCATGATGTTTTCCAAACCTAACCTTTTTTTAATGCCTAAACCTAACCAAATTGTGACTATTTCACAGCGTTACCCACATATTATTGTTACAGTGACATTCATCTTCCTCCACATTTAAATATACTAAGGTATTAAGGGCAAAAAAACTCCAGGGAGACTGTGTATTTTCAGAAAAACAGACCTTCAGAGCAGTGGGCTTTTGTTTTTGGGATAACGGGCTGTCAGATAAATGGGCTTTCGGTTCAATGGGACATTTGTCGGACTGTTGGGGTTTTGGTATAGTGGGTCATCTGAACAAGACTGAAGGTGTGTGCATTTATAAAGCAAAGCGAAATTCCGCTTGTGTTTGCTCAAACTCGATGGCTGGACCATCTCTGCAGAGTCTGTTTATTTGCCCCAAACTGTGCAGACGGTAGCTGTAAGTAAGCGAGCAGCTGACCGTGTGTGCTGTTAGTGTGTGCGATGCATGCTTTGCTCAGACTCTGACTGATGTCAGAACTCGCCAGGAGCTCCAGGACATTCTGTTATTTCTGTCGTTCTCCTATTTCCTCTAGTCTCTGTATATGTTTATGATGTAGCTCGAGTTTTTTGTTTTTTTGCCGTCCTGGGCTTCTGTTCACACCACTCATGTCTTTCCGTTGACTTTACATGCAATTGCACAGGATCTAAAATAGTGTGTTCTGTCTGAACACACCTGGAGGTAATAACCTCGGGTGGAGAGGGTTGTCTTTGGTTAGCTTTGAGACTAAGAAACTATATAACAGTCCCGCTCTACAAACCGGGAGCATAGGGGCATGGAAAGATGTGGGCATTTACCGGGCAGGATGGGTCACACAAAATTACACTGTTGGATGCATTATGGGAAAGGTAGTGTTTTTGAAGATTTTTTTTTGAAAATCAGGGTAACTTGGCCTCTGTTGTTTTGATTTCTGTTCATTTTTTGATCTGTCTCTCTCAGTTTTATAGAAGTATAATAGTAAATTATTGGAGCATCCCTTACATGAATGCAAATTTTTTTGCCATGCTTGCATCGTGGCTCTAGGGATGGTCCCGACTGAAATATCTCAACAATTATGCAGATAACCGTGAAATTCTGTACATATTTCCGTGGTGATCAGCATTGGCATTTACATCATGAACATATCATGCTAATGTTAGCATTTGATTCAAAGCTCCACAGTGCCGAAGTATGGTCTCACAGAGCCACTAGCATGGCTGTTCACGCTTGGTGAGATAAATCGGAAAAATCTGGCATTCACAGTTTGTTTCTCTGGTCTTTCAGATGCTGTAAGACTGAAGTGGTCATCATCAACAGGACAATGTTCACCCACTTGTGGGTGTATGTCCATGTGTGTAGGTAGGTAAAGCTTTTCAAGTGCCAGTTCTCGTTGGGTCTGAATGTTCGCCTGTCCTTTAAAAGGGCAAACACTCTAACCTTCACTTTCTTTTCCCACCTATCTAGTTTTATCATTACTTCCCTTTTTCTCTGCATATCTCTTTATGGATCAACTAACACCTTTAGATGTATATTTTTTCCCAGTGCTCTTTACCTTCCATTAGCTCTACTCTTTTCCTCTCACCACACATACTTTATGTATACTTTATTTACAATTTCTGTCATAGATCCTCCCATCCCCTCCCTCCGCCATCTTCATGAGTCTTATTGCTCATTTCCTTCTTT